ACACACCTATGGACACCTGATTTTGACAAAGAAGCTAAAATTATACAATGCAAAAAGAAAGCATCTTTAACAAATGGTGCTGGCATAACTGGATATCAGAATGTAAAAGAGTGCAAATAAATCCATATCTATTGCCGTGCACAAAACTCAAGTCCAAATGGATTAAAGACTTCAGTATAAATCAAACCACACTGAAGAGAAAGTGGGAAGTAGCCTTCAATGCATGGGCACAGGAGACCACTTCCTAAATATAACTCCAGTAGCACAGACACTGAGAGCAACAATTAATAAAATGGGACCTCCTGAAACTGAGCAGCTTCTGTAAAGCAAAGGACAATCAAAAGGATAAAAAGGCAGCCTACTGAATGGAAAAAGATCTTCATCAACCCCACATCAGACAGAGAACTGATCTCAAAATATGTAAAGAACTCAAGAAATTAGACATCAAAATTCCAAATAGTCCAATTAAAATATGGAGTAGAGATCTACACAGAGAATTCTCAACAGAAGAATCTCAAATGGCCAAAAGACACTTAAGGAAATGTTCAACATTCTTAGCCATCAGGAAAATGCAAAGCAAAACGACTCTGAGATTCCATCTTACACCAGTCAAAATAGATAAGATCAAAAACACCAATGATAGCCTATGCTGGAGAGGATGTGGAGTAAGGAGAACACTCATCCATTGCTGGTGGGAATGCAAACTTGTGCAACCACTCTGGAAATCAGTATGGTGGTGTCTCAGAAAATTAGGAGTCAACCTACCTCAGAATCGACCCAGAAATATCACTCTTGGGCATATACGCAAAAGATCCTCAATCAGACAACAAGGACATTTATTCAGCTATGTTCATAGCATCACTATTTGTAACAGCCAGAACCTGGAAATAACCTAGATGCCCCTCAACTGAAGAATGGATAAAGAAAATATGGTACATTTACACAATGGAGTATTCCTCAGTAGAAAAAAAAAAGACATCTTGAAATTTGCATGCAAATGACTGCAAAAATCATCCCGAGTGGGGTAACCCAGACCCAGAAAGATCAACATGGTATGTGCTCGCTCATAAGTAGATACTAGCTGTAAAGCAAAGTATAACCAGCCTATAGTCTATGACCCTAAAGAAGCTAACTAACAAGGTAAACCATAAGAGAAACATAAATAGATTCCCCTGGAAAGGGGAAATAGGATCTCCTGAGAAAATTGGGAGCAAAGGGGTGGGAGGAGAAGGGAGGAGAGAAGGCCAAGAGGAGGGGAGAAGGGGAGGGGGGAGGAAAACTTGAGGGAAGGAGAAAGTTAAGATGGGAGAACAGAGACAGAGCAAGGAAAGAGATACCTTGATTGAGCGAGCCATTATAGGGCTAGCAAGAAACTTGACACTAGAGAAATTCCCAGGAATCCACAAGGATGACCCCAGCTAAGACCCTAAGCAATAGTGGAGATGGGGGTCCGAACTGGCCTTGCCCTGGAGTCAAACTGATGACTATCTTAAATGTCACCGTAGAACCTTTATCCAGCAACTGATGGAAACAGAGGCAGAGACACACAGTGGAGCACTAGGCTGAGCTTCCAAAGTTCAGTTGAAGAGGGGGAGGAGTGAGAATATGAGGAAAGAGGACAAGACCATGATGGGGACGCCCACTGAAACAGTCTACCTGAGCTAATGGGAGCTCACCAACTCCAGCCAGACTGGGAAGGAACCAGCATAGGACCAAACTAGACCCTCTGAAAGTGGGTGACAGTTGTATGGCTGGGGCAGACTGTGGAGCCACTGGCAGTGGCATCAAGATTTATCCCTACTGTTTATACTGACTTTTTGGAACCCATTCTCTTTGGAGGGATACCTTGCTCAGCCTAGATATAGCAAGGAAGGCCTTGGTCCTTCCTCAAAGCAATGTGCCTTACCCTCTCTGAGGAGTGGATGGGGGTGGGGTGTTGGGAAGGTGGAAGGAATGGGAGGAGGGGAGAAAGTTGTAACTGGGATTCGTATGTATAATGAAAAAAAGATAGTTTGTTTTCTTTTAAAAACTGACTAACTAACTAACTAAATAAGTAAATAAATAAATAAAATGTTAAAAATCTTTTAAAACTGGACAGTGGTGGCCCTGTGCATACTGTCATAGTCTTTATAGTTACATATACATTAATACTGTTATTGTCATCCACTCCCTCTGGTTCTTACAACCTTTCTGCCATATCTTCTGCTCACTGAGACCCGGGGGGAGGGGTTTGACGAAGACATCCCATTTAGGACCGAGTGTTCCGAGTTCTCTCACTCTGAATATCGTACAGTGTGGGTCTCTGCATCGCTCCCCATCTAATACAGAGGAAGCTTCTCTGATAATGGCGGAGTGAGACACTGATTTATGGGTATAGCGGAATGGCATTAGCATCCACTTAGTGGTTATGTTTCTTTAGCAGAACAATAACAATATTTGATTTCTACCTAAGCCTATCTAGTCTTGGATTCTTGACCACCCAAGCTGTGTCAGGCATGGTTCTGTACCAGCTAGTTTTATGTCAACTTGACACCAGCTAGAGTCATCAGAGAGGAGGCAGCCTCAATTGAGAAAATGTCTCCATAAGATTGTGCTGTATAGCATCGTCTGATTAGTCATTTATGGGTGAGGGCCCCGTCCACTGTGGGTGGGGCCAACTTGGGCTGATAGTCTTGGATTCTATAAAAAAGCAGGCTAAGCAAGCCATGGAGAGCAACCCAGTAAACAGCACCCCTCCATGGCCTATTTGTCAACTATTTCCTCCAGGTTCCTGCATTGTTTGGGTTTCTGTCCTAAGTTTCTTTAAAGATGAACTATGATGTGGAAGCCTAAGCCAAATATACCCTTTCCTTTTCATCTGGCTTTTTTTCATGATGTTTCCTTATAGAAATAGAAACCCTCGCTAAGATAGGTTCTGGCTAATGGAATGGAGGCCTTAAGTCTAATCATAAAGTGGTTGGTTCCTCTCACATGTGTGCCACTGTGGCACCGGCACATCATTCAGGTGAGTCACTGCTGTAGATTACGGGGATTGTAACAGTGCTTAGGCTTGCCTTTCTCCTCTGGTGACATGCTGAGTCCCTCTAGAGCCACAAACAGTCTTCAGTAGGGTGACAGCTTTAGTCAGGCACTGGCTTGACTTCTCTGGGTTCAGGGAGATATGTAAGAGCTGTCTTCAACAATAGGGCCGTACCATCAGTTGTGGTAAGAAATGAATGAGCTCATTTAAAAAAAAAATTTATTAAAAAGCATTTATTTATGGGGAGGAGGGCCGTACCAGGGCACAATGTGGAAATCAAAGGACAACCTGCAGGAGCCAGTTTTGTCCTGCTACCGTGTGGGTTCCAGGGATCAAACTCAGGTTATCAGGGTTGGTGCAAGTGTTTTAACTGCTGCACCATCCCTAAATCTGTATCTTTTTATTCATGGCAGCCTCGCTGACTCCTAGCCAGTCAGAGCTCTTCAAATATTTTAGAAGTTTATGTTGAAACTTCCTTTGTTGATAGCACGATGTTGTCACTCTTAATGATGACAGTTTTAGGGCATCTCCTTGGAGACATCTCAAGGACACAGGATGCATTTCGATGGTTCTGTCCTCAGTGTGATAATTATGTTCATCTTTGAAGTCTTTCCACATTATTCAAACTTCTTCCCTTCAGCATTTATTTGGCAAACCCTAGATGCTAACATTAATGGAAAGTTGATCACACTTGGAAGTCTCCAAATCTGCTCCTTGGGGTTCAAGGGTCAGTTTTCAATGTCAAGGGCCATCCTGGGGCTAAGGTAAGTGAAATAGCTAATTATCAGGAAGACCACGTGGGCAGAAGAGTGACACCAGAGATGATGTCTCATGTCCAGCTGTCCCTGGCTGTGAATGGCCAGAGGCCATGGGTGCCAGCTACTGAATATCTTATTGTTTTTCATTCATTTCCTAATTTGTATTCTATTCTTTTGCTTCCTCAATGCTCAAAGCTGGTAGTTAGACAACTACCCAGCTTCTGTAACTGTTGCACAAAATTATAAAAGGCCTGAATGTATTGTATCAGAAAGGAGATGAATAAATGTGTGTTTAGGGAAATTAGCCCTCCTCTGCAGAAGGGTGCACAGCGAGTGAGCCGAATCCATGCTCTTCCTTTTGCGTGTCTCCTGAGGGTATGGGGCAGTGCACATCCTAAGGGTATGGGGTAGTGCACATCCTAAGGGTATGGGGTAGTGCACATC